GGCAACGGGTGACCAGGGTCAGCGGTGGAGCAGAGGCAGCTGCAGGGCTAATGGCGGAAAATAGGCCATGCTGTCAGGCCCGGGTTCCGGGGACAGAGAGCTCCCGGAGGCGACACCGCCCTACACCTGGGCTCCCGGGACCCGGCGTCCCTGCACTCGTGGGCTGGCAGGGGAGGGGCAGGAAGGGGCCACTTTCACTGGGGTCTCAGCCCTCAGCCAGCCAGGGGACACCCTCCAGCAGAGGCCAGGCTGTGGACAGTGTGGAGAGCCCCGTGTCCCACCCTGGGCACCAGGGAAATGTCCCCAGCCCCTCTGTGGCTCCACTTCACAGCCCTCGAGACTCACCTCCTGTCTCCTCCAAGGACAGACGGTCTGAGGGGCCACCTGGCTGATGGGGCCTTCCCATTGGCTGCCCTGTGCTGCTCACAGGCTGGGACTGCAGGCCAGGGGCCAGGACGGGGGCGTGTGACCAGATGCCCCTGGAATGGAGGGGCAGAATTCAGGGCTGTGTCGCTGAGCCCTCCTCGAGGCCTGGAAGGAGGGCCTGACCCTGAGCGGCCGGCTCTCTGGGTTTGCTGGGCCTGCCCTGCGGGGGAGGGAGGGGTGGCCCTGGGCACTGCCCGCACACGGGGCGTGGGCTCTGCCAGGGACGGAGGGAGGGGACCTGCTCTGATGTTTTGTTTGGTGTTTTCAGGTCACTTAATCAGGACACACAAGAGGCCAGGAGCACCACCAGGACGGTGTGGTGCCTCTGCCCTAAGAAATAGTATGAACAGTAAACTATAAATCACAGGGAATGAAACGAATACTGTGTTTGGCAGCTAGAACATCTGCTCGTAGATCACCTCACGTGGGTCTCGCTGATGGCCCGGGAGCCAGGCGGGCAGAGGCACCTCTCCCTTTGTGTCACCAGTACCCTGCAGAGAAGGAGCCAGCTCGCCCGAGGTCGCCGGTGGCCAGAGCCTGCGGGACCTGGCTCTCCGCTCTTGGCCAGCTCAGGGGGGGCCTGGGACTTCCTGATGTGGGGTGATGAGCTGCATGCCCCGAGGGGCGCCCCCCACGCCCGGTAACAGCACCCCTTTCTTCGTGCTGCCCACGAGCTCCCAGCGTCTCTGCACTTTCCCCAGACCATTTTTTCTCCCTCTGGAATCATTCCCTCACCCCTTTCTCGAGCCTAAGGACACAGTCCCCTTCCTGCCCCTCTTCCGGGTTAACTCCGGGTCTACGGGAAGGACCCAGCGACCTTGGCTGGTGGCAGATTCGTCGTGATGTTTACACTTGTCGACGGTGCCTTGCGTCAGTCACCTAGACTGTGTGAGTTCAAACCAGGCCCAGAGTAGCAGAAGACGCCCCAAGACGATAAGAGACGCCCCAAGACGGAGGACTCGGGCTCGGTCCGTGGGAAGCTGCTGGGTTTGCTGGGGCTGCTGCTGTCTGCTTGTCTGTCTGGCGCAGGAGCTGGGCAGAACCGGCCCTTGTGCTGGCTGAGCGCGCGCTCGGCACGGAGCTCTCCTCCTCGCTGCTTGTTTCTGATTAGCTTTTTGGAAACTGTCTTAAAATTAGAGAAATGTTCCAAGTTTTAGTACAAAGAACTTTCCCCTGAACCATCTGAGAGTAAACTGCTGGCAGCCGGCGTCACCCGATGGCCTCAGCGCCCACTTCCTACAAGTCAGCACCTCTCCTGTAACTCCCGTCCCGGCCCCACGGGCAGAGCACTGGCCGGGGCCGTCCTGCTGCCGAGCGCTTGCGCTCTCTCCAGGCGCCGCCCGTCCCCAGGGCCTGCTGCAGCAAGACCCCGCTCAGGCCGCCTCTCCCAGGCGCCGCCCGTCCCCAGGGCCTGTTGCAGCAAGACCCCGCTCAGGCCGCTTGCGGCATTCAGTCACCGCCTCTTCCCTGACAGTTTGTGAAACGAGACCCCCCTTGGCAATCCAGACCGTCTTGCACGGTGTCGGGTCACAGAAGGCCGTCCTCGGGGGACCTCGGAGCACGGGGGGGGGGGTTACAGCCGCGGGGCCTGGACGCCCTCTGAGCGTCCTGGGGGCTGAGTAAGCGTACCTCGAGATTCCTGGAGGCATTTGCTTCAAGAACAGGTGGTCAAAATCCTTCACAAACCCACGCCCGCTCGGGGCCAGCCCTGGCATCGGTGAGGGGGGATTCAGGCTGCAGCCGTGCCCCCCTGTTGCCCTAGGGCACCAGAAGGCTGCTGGGAAGACTCCCCCCGAAACGAAGCCCACAGGCCCACCTGACATTAGCCCCAGGCCTGGCTGGTGTGACCATCTCTGGCCAGGGCCAGCTGTCCAGCTCGGACAAGCCCCCAGCCAGCTCTGCCCTGTCCTCGGGGCTGCTGATGCGGGCAAACAGAGGTCCTGGGCGTGAGAGTATGGCCTGGGCTTGCCCGGTTCCGTGGAAACACGCTTCTCCCCGGCGTCCGGCTAACAGGAAGCAGCTGGGGCAGCGGAGCTCCGGGGACTTGCCCCACGCAGCTGTCCACCCAGGCCCCTCCGGCCCGCCTCCCTCCCCAGGCCTGCCATCCAAGCCCAGTGACCTGGGGAGACCTGCAGACACTTCTGTGTGTGCACGAGGCCCACCTGGACTTTCAGACAGACAGATAGACAGCCAGCCTGGGGGAGCGGTCGGGGAGAGGACGCAGAGCCCTTGCTTGGAGCCCGGAGCTGAGCACCTACTCTGGGGTGTGCCCTGCCCGCACGGGGGTTGCTTGTGGTAACTTGTTGAACCTCGACAACTTCAGGAATTGAGGGTGATCAACAGTCCCATTTTACAGGGAAGGAAAGTGAGGTCCCAGGAGGTAAAACCAGGCGCCTGGTGCCACGGTCACCGTCAGCCCACGTCTGCCCAAGCCTGTTCTCAGCCCGCCTGCTCGGGGGCCTGTGTGTGCAGGCAGCCACTGGGGCCCTCCCAGGAACTGTGCTGGGCCAGATGTGGCCAGATGTGCCACTGCCCCGAACTCAGAAGGGACACTCAGCACTGGACGGGGACTCGGGACGCAGCCTGAGGAAGCGGAGGTGGGGGCAGTGCTGGCGCTGTGTTAACAAGTGGGCTTTGAGCCCTACGGGAAGCAGAGGTTCTGGGCGCCAGGATTCCGGGATGGGCAGCCCTGATCTTCCCACGGGAACTGCCAACCAGGGACAAGGGGAGCTGGCTCTGGGCTGCGGCCAGTCCCTCCCGCGCGGAGGGGCAGGGAGAGCCCTGGGCAGCGCCCCCCACCCCCGGCCTTGCACACCAGCCCTCACTGTCTCCCTCTCTTTGTGAGCCCGCCAGGCCCACGCTCCAGTGACTCCCGGCTCCAAGCCCTCAGAGCTGGCGCTCGGCGCACTTTGCCTCACGGGGTCTCGTGGGGCAAGACGGTGCAGTGCAGCGGCCACACAGCCGGGCAGGGCCCTTGGGGAGGCTCCATCTCCCGGTCCGGTCCTCATGTGCGCCTGCACTGTGCAGAGAAAGGACACTCCGGACGTGTGGCCGGGTACCGCACAGACGTGGCGTGCGCGAGGCCTGGGTGCAGGTGTGACTGCGGAAGCTGGTGTCTGTGGACTGGGTGGCAGACACTGGCCACGTTGGCTTGGAAGGGAGGCCCGGGGGTGCTGCAGGTGCCCCTCCCTGGGCCTCTGACGGCTGTGGACACATCCGCTGTCTACACACACAGGAGGTCCTTATCGCTGGATGAACTGGATCAGACGGATCCTGAGGCGCCTCTCTGAGCAGCATGGCCAGCAGGACTGACAGGGTGGCAGAACCCCTCCCACCGCAGCCCTCCCGCCCTGGGCCTGAGTCTGGGGGCCGCCCCTCAGAGGACCCCAGCGGAGGGAGCCCCCCGCCACGAGCAGCTCCCCTGCGGCGGACGGCCTCCCCACCATGTCAGGAAGGGCGGGTGATACTGATTTCCAAACGCCGCCCAGTCTCCATCCTATCAGAGTCCCGTGAAGGCAGCGGGTCATCTCTTCTGTCTTCCGGTGGCTTTGGAGTGGGGTTGGGTGGGGGGAAGACTCTTCCAAAACACCGGCTAACGGAGTCACCCCCTGCAGTTTGGGATGGGTGAGCGAGTCATGGTGCCCCCCCGGGAAAGAGCGTTAACAGCGACACGTGCGGAGCTCTGACGGACACGGAAAATGCCTGAGACAATATTAAACAGCAGAAAAAACACAAAACCACAAAGCTGCAAACAAAGCTGACACCGACTGTGAGGGAGAGGCTGGCCTGGAAATAGGAGAGGTGGCAGGAAGGCGCGCGCTTACTTCCGGATGGGGATGGCAGCTGCCGAGCGCTCGGCCATTCTGCCAGCCAGGAGAACAACAAGTTGTTCAATTAGGGGTAAAGGAGCCGTGGCAGGCAGTGTCTGTGGTGGGCAGGGAGGAAGCCCCTCCAGGGCTAGTGTGGCCGTGGGGCAGGGGGCCTCCCTGCCAGATGGGGGGGGGCACGCCTCCCAGCCGGGAGCACCGCCTGGGTACTGAGGGGGTGGCATGAGCCATGCGACCTGGGGGCTGTACGGGGTGGCGCAGTGGGCTCAGTGGGAGGCCTTCCTGGAGGCGGTGGGCCTGAAGGGGCCTCCTCTGAGGTGAACTGGGGAGGATGGGTCTCTAGGTGTCCCGTGGGCTGCGGGGAGGGTCCTTGGAGAACACAGCAAAGCTGTCAGAACTGTGTGTGTTGGAGGTGTGGGTGTGGGCAGGGTGGGGAGGCCCCTGGAGCCCGGAGAGGGTCCCGATGGGACGGGAGAGCCCAGAGCTGAGGGAGAGGGAGCAGTGGGGGCTGAGGAATGGCCCAGGCGGAGCCTTGACAGGCAGGAGGGTGGCTGCGTCTCAAGTTGTTCTTTTAGAGAAAAGTCAGAGCTGCCATGGGCCATGTGGGTGTTAATTTTTGGCTGGTTCAGTGAACCAGGGGCCGGGAAGAGTGTCTGGCGCCTCTGGTGATGAAATGCTGGTCAAATCCTCCCCCTCACGTGGCCCGGGGTCCTGCCTCCGACCGTGGGGGCCTCAGTTTCCCCCAGAGAGGCGGGGGTGGGTGACAGTCTCCCATTGTCCTCGGGGCTCCCGGGCTCCGCTAATAAAAATGATTGTAAAACGCTTTGCAAACAGCGGGGCTGCTCACAACGGAGGCTTCTCCCCCACAGAGCAGCTTCAGTCCCCACAGGGGTCCGCCCGGAGCCTCGCTGCCCTCGGAAGAAGGGGCCTTCTGTTCCCCGGTGAGCTGAGTGAACGCCGCGGCCGCGGGACAGCCAGGGGCCGGGCCCTGTGCCCACTGCTGGCAGCCGCCCTCACACAGCACAAGGAGAAGTCTGTGTGTCTCCTTGGCCGGGAGCCCGCGCTGCCAAGGCCCTGTGACGCTGCAGGACTCGGGGGCGGAGGGAGGGCGGGCGGCAGAGAGCTGGCGCGTCTCACTCAGGGAAGTGGTGTGATGACTAATCTTAACGGGGAAGCAACGGCGAATGCTCACTGAGTCCCTAGTGGGTGCGGTCACTTTACACGTGTTAGCTCCACTCAGCGGCCCTCGGTGTCAGGGGCCACTCCACTCCCTGGGGTGCTGGTGGCAGAGCAATGGGCCCTGAAGACGCCTCTGCCCCAATACTTAGAACTTGTAACGCATGACCTCAAACTGCAGACGTGACCAAGGTTAAGGACCAGTGACAGAGTCGCCTGGATTATCCAGGTGGACCCAACCCAGTCCCACAAACCCTTAAAAGCAGAGACCCCTTCCCGGCTTCAGGGGACAGGCAGGGGACAGGCAGAGGACAGCGAGGGGGGCCTGGGCTGCGGCTGCCAGCGTTGAAACGCAGGAAGGGGCCACGGACCAGAGTAAGAGCGGCCTATCCTGGTGGCTCGGCAGGGACCCAGCCCTGCCCACGTCTGGTCTTACCTAGCGGCACCCGACCCACAGCCATGCGATCACACGTGTGTCGTGGGAAGCCACAGAGGTGGTGGGAATTTGCTGGAGCAGCAACAGCACACGAACGCACGTCCCCAGAGGCATGGGATTTCAGCCACACACGGGGAAGCACTGCTGGGATGAGCGGGAGGTGGATTCCGTCCCCAGAGGAGAGCCGCCCTCCCCCTGGCGTGCCAGACACCCGTGCGAGGGCTGAAGAGGACCCGTCCAACCAGGCGGCTAGTCACCCCCATGGCTCTGCCCAGGGGCCTCCTTACCCTCAAGAAACCGGTTCAAGCAGGAATCAGGGCCCTCACCCTGCGGATGAGGAAATGGAGGCTCCGAGAAGCGGGCTGTCACGCACAGGGTCCCGCGGCCCCACCCGGCCCGGAGCACACACTCCCAGGATCCGACTCCAGGTCTGGTTCCTCCTTGCCTCAGGTCTGGGGGCTCTGGGGGTTTACCCCGCTGTGCCCACCACCCGAAGCAGAGCCCTGGGGTCCCACAGCCCCAGCCAGCGCCTTGGGGCTGCTGCTCTGTGCGCCTGCCCCAGCCCGGACCCACCCACTTCTCCCAGCCAGGGCATGGCCACCCCTGGAGGGAGTCTGCTGTCCGGGTGGCGTCCTTGTGTCCGGGGGCTCCCGGGGACGTATGTTCTGCTTCTGCAGATGCACGGGGGAGAGAGATGGGAGCGGCCCCCAGCACAGCGGCCTGCTAAGCACATCTGCACCCTCTGCCTGTCCTTCTCCACACATCCCCCAAGGACGTCCCTTCCCCGCACGTGTCCTCTTAGGACTCCCCTCCCCGGGACCAGGCCACCTTAATACTCCCAACCACCCATCCCGGCAAAACCTGTTATAAAGCCTGTGCATGACCTCATCGACCGCCCCGCCCACCTCCCGGGGTGTTCTCAC